TTACCAGGGAATAAGATTACTGGGAATGTTACATTACTGTGTTTGGTTGATTTGGCAGGAATGTAAGATTACAATGTTTGGTTGAAGTAATAAAATATTACTGGAATATATATTTTACCAAATTATCCTTGGTCTATATTTTTTAACAAGTGAAATTCTAAATATTTAAATAAAAATTATTTATATAAAAATTATATTTGTTGATAATATATTACTTGAGTATTTAAATATATCATGTATTATTTTAATTTTAATTAATATTAAATTTTACATAATTGATGTAAAAATATATTAAAATTTTACATCAACATTTAACTAAACATTTACATTGTGGAAACTAGCTTCGGTTCATGTTGACACATTCACTGGGAGGTTTTTATTTCCATTTATTTTTTATTTGTGTTTAAGAAGTTTTAATTTCTTCTATTTTATTTTCTCATGTTCGATTTTGTCTCAAATTGTTATTTTGCGTAACAATCTTAAGACAAAGTAAATTCTTTCTTTCTCTTTAATTTTATAAAGATATTTCAATCATTATTATTTTTCATTTCATTCTCGTATTAATGAATTTTTCCAACAATCTTAAGACATGTTATTATCTCATTCTTCTACCTTTCTTAATCCGAGATAATTCAGAAATTGTGAGAAAATGGAAATAACAAATAAATGTGTCTCGAGATTTATCATGTTGTCTTAACAAGTTTGTTAAAATCTCAAAGTGGACAAACCTATCTAATAGAAATTATCGTGAATGTAACTTTGGTTACCTTTTTTATCGACAAAAGTCAAATTTTATTAATAAAGACCAATCTAGTTCAAAGCCTCATTAAAAACCTCTATAAACCTAATCAGAGGAAAAGAGTACTTTGAACCAGAGCATAAGAAAACACACTAATATGCTAACTACCTAAAGCATATAACATCCAAGCAACAAGAGAATAAAACTTAACTAAACTATATAGGAATTACAATCTGGGATTTTAAACCCAAATCACTAGCAACCCTAACTAAACTACATAGAAATTACAATCTAGGATTTTAAACCCAAATCACTAGCAACCCTTAAACATCTTGGACACACACAAGGACAACAACTCTAAACAGGACACATCACCAGCAACAAGCAAAAACAAACTAATATAACACCACCTGTACGCTAATTATCAGTCAAAACCAGCATAACAACATCACACCAAGACCACACTATGGTAGAGGCAAACTAATTTGCAATAGCGAAAACTACAAGTAAATAACATCTTGAACAACATAACAAACAATAATCTGAATAACTTTAAAACCTTTTATCTAGCAGAGAGCAACCACAAAGAGCCTTACACCTCGTGACTTCAAAACAACAAGATTCCAAGGTATTAAAAATACTTATAAAGATGACCACACTTTACACACATGAAAGCAGAGACCTCGAAAGCTTCATCTTAGACAGTATTAATCAGGATTTTATTTCGACGGAAGTCATTTTTGTCACTGCACCACATGTTCAGTTGAAGTTTCAAGTCTTAGTCTCATCCCCCAAGCTTATGAGAGCTCAGTCCTCGAACAACCCTACCCTGGTTAACTAATCTACCAAACCTTTTTGATCTTGTACCCCGAACAATTATGATGCATTCCTTCAATTCCATCAGATTCATAGCTAAGATGTAAACAACCAAGATCTATAAATCACTCTTTTTCGACATCATATCGGTTATCCAAACCAAATATATATCCGTATTTGATGTGATCAAATTTTTGTACAATCAAAGCCTACACTCAACCATTAACCAGAAAAGAGAACAAAGGAATTGCACTCAACCCAAAATGATTCTCCTAGAAAAATACAGTACAACTAACACTCCAAATGTCAAAAGCCGCACAAACCCCTGACATTTCAATCACCTGAAATATAATTTAACTTGAAAGAAAAACATCCAATATATACCTAAAATAACAAACACAAAAACATGGAGAAAAGTAACAGGATAGACAATTAATAGCCACATTCCAATTTTCAGTACCTCTGGGGCCATCCAATATGGTGTTCCAACAACTTAGTGTGTGTTAACATCAGCCTCATTTAGTTTTGTTGCAACACCAAAATCTGCAAGTTTCACCAGACCCTAAAAAGAGAAATTAATTCAAGGGTAAGTTTTGGGGGAAACCAAGAGAGTCCACACTCCACACCTAGTGGCACAACTATCAAAACCAATCTGAACACAAAATTGTGAAGATAAAACATAATGAATCTGTAGAATCTAGGACCCTGAGGCGGGGCAATAAAATATGGCCCAAAATTCAGCATTCTGCAGATGTTTCACTCAAGGAAAGTAAAGTAATTCAATTTCATTTATCTTAGCATATTTTTCAGCACATAAGTAGCCAAAGTTAAAGGAAACGTATGAATTCAAATTCAACTTGTCTAGATAGCCCAATATTAAGGAGGCCAAATGGTATATCTGTCACCATGCTCAATTTATCACAATATAATCACTAAAAAATGACCCTGAAATAGTAAATAAAACTCACTAAGGATATAGAAATAGTTGTTAGGTTACCTCTTTAGTCGTCAGAATATTAGCACCTTTAGTATCCCGATGGATAACACCTTGTTCATGTAGATAAACCAAACCTTCTAAAACCTTATTAACAAGCAGCATACTCAATGATACTTTACAGCAAAATGAAGCAATAAATGCAGAAATAAAAACAAACCTGAGCAATATAAACGACCACCAAAGATTCTGGAAACGGCCCAAATTTATTTGGCTTGATAATGTTTGCAAGTGAACCATTTTCCACATGCATATGGAAATGTAAAAACAGTAACTACAAGTTCTTAACAGTTCAGAGAATACTCCAATCACAATGTAAGATTACTTACTTAAGAATTATGTGCAGGTGAGTAAAAAAAAAACAAAGTTCAAACCTTAAAACTTCCCAAACCATAACTAATCCCAGAAAAATTACCCACAAAGTTACCCATAACCTTGGTAGCAAATCAAAAACCAGAAAACTTTCACACTCAAAGCCAAGAACCTTCCTTCGCAAGATGATCAATCAAAATAAAACCATCGAAATCGAGGCCAACCGTCTTATCAAGCTTACATTAGTACAAACCTTAACAATTTAGTTTCAAGTACTGTGTATTGGCAATGACCTTAGAAGCAAAATACAACTCCACCAAAACGAACATCAGATTTACAAATTGATTCAGTGTAGCATGGGATAAACTATCCTTGAGCTCTTTACCCCATTGAAACACCTTTAATAGCAAACAAAACATCAAAACATACAGCCAAAATTACAAAAAAAAAACGCCTGCACAACCCCTCGTCCCCCTCTAATCGAGCTTACTATTATATTCTAGTAGAGTCAAATCCTTAACTACCTCAAGTTCATTTCCAATTACCTGAATCCCCATCTTTTTACCCAATTCCAGCGTCTCTACTGCCTCCCTCTTAGCAGCTTTCTACATAATCTTGATCTCGTAATCTGATTCAGACCGACTGGACAGTTCGGAGGATTCCAAATTTAAGCCCTTCAACTTACTTTTCTTTATATCAAGTAAGGAGCCAAATTTCCTTCTTCTTTGTCTTCTACCATTCACGTTTTTAAGTTTTGATAAAAAATGACAGGGTGTTTCCTCCAAACTACGCTCAGCATTCTCCTCATCACAATTTTCTTTCGGTCATAACCAAATGGGAGAAGTGTACTTTAGACAACGGAGACGGGAATAAGTAAATACCTAAGAGAGATGGGGGTATGACATTCCCGGGAAAGTAGGAAAAAAATACCTCTGTTGGTGTTCATTCTTTCCCTGTACTTGGGAATGTACTCCATCCAAACATGGGTATGTTTACCCGGAAAAAAAAGATTACTAGCAGGAATGAAATATGACGTAAACCAAACGGGACCTATATATAATTTTACCCGTTAATAAATTACTTGCTTATTTTATAAAGACATTATTGACCTACTGATTAAGCATGCCTCTCCCAATATTTTTTTATATTCACTTCATGATTTATATTTAAAGTTTATAATTTTTTTCTTCTAAACAATAGATTTCTAAAACTTGAATTTATTTTATTATAATACAAAATTCTTCAACTTTTTTTTATCAAAGTAATAAATTCTAAAAGTTATAATTATATTGTCTCTAGCCCCACCAAACTCATTAAAATGAGAAACAAACATAGAGTCGATTATTGTTTTTGTTAATGACCAATACATTTTTATTTTTTTAAGTTAAATGTTCTTTTTTTAATTTTTTTATTCTCACCTCCATAGTTGTTAGTATTTTATTATCCACAAACTTTAAACTTCTATTGTTTTATCATTTTTCATTATATTATTCAATATCATAGATACAATATTTTTTTCTTTTCATTTAACTATTAATATTTAATTACTTAATTAATTGATTTAAATTAAATATTATAAATTTTTTATTAATCTAATTTATTTGATTTACGATATCATAATTTAAACATCTATCTTTTTATCAAGTGACCCAATTGATAACTATAATTGTCGCATGACATAAATATTTGTACCATTTGTGGAGTTCAATGTATCAGAAACAAGAATTTTTCTTAAAAGATTACATGACATCTATCTCTACATACTACAAATAAAATCATGAAATTTTTTATTTGCATCACTAACTTTGTCCTTCCTTGATTACCATATTATTATTATTATTATTATTATTATTATTATTATTATTATGTAAGGGAAGTTATAACCGTGTATAATTCTAATTTATTTTAAACTTTAAATTTATTTATTATTGTATTAAATCTGTATATTGTTTTTTTTTATGAATTTGTATATGGTTGTTCAAAAGACATTTCGGACATTTTTATGCTTCAGCAACAGTAGACATAACGTTGTAATTAACCCAAACTTTATGGGCACTTTCATATCCTTCCTTCCATAAGATCATCCGCCCTCCCAAATTCTGAAATCCTCTTATAAAGCTGTAATTTTTCTCCGACGCTCCAATAAGGAATAGCAAAGCAAAGGATTCATTTTCCTTCTAAGAGTACCACCGGAAAAATGTCGGCCGGACTTGGAAAAAGCAGCAAAATCCGTCACATTGTGAGGCTGCGAAAAATGCTGCGGCGATGGAGGAACAAAGCTCGCATGTCGGCCAGCCGGATCCCGTCCGATGTCCCGGCGGGACACGTGGCTGTATGTGTGGGGACGAGTTGCAGGAGATTCGTCGTGCGCACGACATACCTGAACCATCCCATCTTTAAGAAACTCCTTATCCAAGCCGAGGAAGAGTACGGGTTCAGTAACCAAGGCCCATTGGCGATCCCCTGCGACGAGACCCTTTTCGAAGAAGTGATCCGGGTTATTTCCCGGTCGGAGTCGGGTCATCCCGCCAAGTTCGTCAAAATTGAGGACTTTAAAGGCAACTGCCACGTGGGAATGGGGAGTAAGCTTCATTTGTGGACCGAATCTCGACCGTTACTTCATGGGTTCGCTGAGAAAACAATATGGTGAATAAAGAAACAGAAGAAAAGGAGAAGCTTTGGTTCTTACCCGGGGTTTTTTACTCAGTTCCGAGTTAGCTAAAGTGAGTAAAATCATACACGGCTAGTTGACCAAGTTGCGGAAGTTTTTTTACTAGTTCTCTTGTTATTACTTACCGTTGTAAAAAGGTAAGTGTTTTTTGTCTTTTTCGTAAGTTGGTTTTTTTTTGGGGGGGGGGGTAAAACGGCGTTGAGCCCACGGGTATTGAGCTCCGGTCATCGGAAGAATGCATGGAGATGGCAGAGAAGGTGGGCGAGTTATCCACCGAGTCGTCCCGGGTTCGAATCAGAGTGACGCAAAACAAAGGGGTGGAGGACTTCTAGACACTTGAAGTGAATGTTGTTAATTAAAAATCACTGCTGTAAATTCTGTGATTTACGGATTGGGTAAGGAAGAATTGTAGAGACATGAAATATATATTGGATGAATAATATTTAACTATTTTCCATTATTCATCGAAGTTTTCATTATTTTAGTAATAATGCAGTGGAGAATTACAAAATACATAATGCTGGCCGTTTTGGGAGTTATAAATGGTACCCACCTTACCCACGTGAAACACTCTCTTTCGCTTACACCCCACAGTTGAAGAATTTATTTTACACTCCTACATTTGTATTATATTTATCAATTTTTAATTAATTTTAACATGCTAAGTATTTATATTATTAAATTTTAAAATGATGATGTAATGACTCATATAATGTTATTTTATGTTATGTTTGATAATTTTTATATATTATTTTATTATTTTTATAGGCTCATTTAATATAAGTTTATTATTGAGAGACAAAATCTTTAATATTGAAGTTAATATGATATATGTCATAATCATTTTGTTAATGTGATACATGTTAAGTCGTTCCTTTGATCATTACTTTGTTGACATAATCTATTTTAATTAAAAAAATTAAAATATTTAAAAATAATGCTCTAAAAAGATTAAGAGTTAAAGTTATTATTTAAACCAACTCTAAGACAAATTTCATCATTATATTATTTATTTTACTTATTAAAGTATAAAGGGTAATTATGAAAGTTTCTTTTTTTCTAGGTAAAAGGTAAGACAAACTAGAGGATTACATCAATGTATTCCTCAAGTATAGGGGCAAGATTCATATATTTTTAGTATTTCTTACTTTTTTTTATTTATAAACAGAAACTTAATAAACGTATATGACAGTGGGTTGCTATGAATAAAAAAAGGGGATGGAATGGAGTTGCAACCAATGTCCGGTGATATAAAGTTAAATCTTTTTCACTTGACCAACAGTTTGTCGGTGGTAATTGGGTTTGGTAAAATGTAAATATTTGGCACTTGCACAACGAAAGAAACAATTATTCCAACTACAAATACAAAATTATGATACCTTTTCTTTTTAATGTTAACTAACATGTTTTCTTTTCACTCAACTTTGCATTTTAGTGGACTTATTGGAATTGAATCTACCGGATGCTCCTTTTTATGCCATATTGATTCTAGTTCAAATAGATTGGATGTGTAAACTCGTTAAAAAAAATAAAGGAATAAAAAGTTTGTATAATAATTAACTCAATGATAATACGAAATAATACAAACGGTACGACCGATCAAACTATACTATGTTAATTATACAACATAAATCACTGGCTCAGGCTGTTTATATGGCATTTTAGAAATACAAGCTCACTATATGTTCACATTCACATTATTTGGCCTTAACTCCCTCAACGTTGCATAAAATCTTGCTCCATAGCAACCCACAACATAAAAAAGACGATGTTTGGTGAAAATGACAAGCTTGCAACTTTAAAACATGTGAAGAATTTGACTTTTGTAATGGGAAAGGGTAATAGGAGGAAAATGGGTGTCGTAATGAGTGTTGGAAATGAAGGACCCAAATAATTGAAAAAGGAATCTTAGGATTAGGGCAGGAAGTAGAAGAGCCAGAGATAGTGGAGCATTATCGCTTTCGAATGAATTTCCAAAGATGGTTTCTTTTCACGATCGGGACCGAGTTTGGCTTTTGATTTGTTCTGTCCATTTCGGTTGTCAAGGACGGTTTGATCCCATTGATGATTTTATAACTCAATCCTCGTAAAAGAAAGACTAGAAACCTATGATTCTCCATGTTAATCATGTTCGTTTCTTTCGTCTTCCTTCTCAATTTCTTTTTACTACAACTTTTAATTGTCGACATGTCACGTGTTTATGGTTCGGTTTTTGATTGAAACAAATGATTTAGTTGAAATTTAATTTAGTTAATCAAACGAGTAATTATATATTAGACCAGTCAACGATTAAATTTTTAAAAAAAATCCGATTATCAGTTAATTCGATTCAAAATCGACTAATGAATTAACTGGAAATATTATGTATTTAATATTAATCAAAGTTTAATCCAAATGAGAAAAGCTACATCTATCGAACAAAAATTAATCTAATTAAATCTTATTTTTGTACGAATTAAGTTACTTTGATGAGTAAGGTCATTTGTGTTCAAGACATGTTTTCTATTTTAAATTTATATTATTTTAAGTTACTTCTATGTCTGCAATCTTACCAAAAACCACCCAAAAATAATTAAATACCAAAATAGTAACCTTTAACTAATATTTATCGATCTAACACTCATTCGTACTATGTTACAATAAGACGTGTTTTACGAAACACACTTTGCACATGTGGTATCCTACTTAGTAAATGCGTGTTTTGCATGAAGCACCTTATACTTATATAACATTAAATATCTGAAATCAAATTAAAATATGACTTTTAATATCTTTAAGTTAATATAAAATTAAAAAAAGATAAAATAATTATAAACAAACTATGCCTTATTCATGAATGCGTTATACAAAGCAATGGTTGTCTGTTTCGAGCATAGTTTCTTCGTATATGTTGCTCTTCATCACCATTCTCATCATTTTATCGACATCAACTTTATCTTATTTTTATCCAACAATCCCATTATGGTGTGTAATCAACAATTTAAAAACTGTGAAAATTGTGAAAAATTACATTGGTGACTAAGATGCATGGGTGATGGTGTTGGTGGTGGAACACCACTCATCAAATATGATTCATACGAAGCAAACGTCTAGTCTATGGGCGTATAATATCCTCCGGGGAGCTCAGCATATAACCCGACTGTAACCCTCTAGCCCCCAAAAAATTTTCGGGCGCGCCATAAGTTCCCAACGCACCCAATGTATTGATCGTTTATCAGCAGAACCCCAGATAAAACTTGCCACCAATTTGTTAAGCTTGGAAGCAATCGACTCCGGAAGTTTGAACAACGAAATATAGTAGACTGGAAGATTAACCATAACTGCTTTTCAATGTTACTCTCCCCCAAACGAAAGCAGATTCCTTTTCTATCCGTCCAACCTATTCTGTATTTTATCGATAATCGACTTCCACAAAGCAACAAAATTCTGATTATGGCCCAACGAAAGGCCGAGATCTGACGTTAGGAATGAGTCAACCTCACATTTGATTGAAGTGGCCCAGCTCGACAAAACCCTGTCATCAATATTCAGGCCAAAAAAGCTTTATCTTTTTCATATCAAGTCCCGAAGTGATCTCAAGATTCTCAAAACTCTCTTTGTATTCACTGTTGATTGTTCCGAGGCTTCCAAGAACAGTACCAAATCATCGGCAAACTGCAAATGAGTCACCTCGACTCCACCAGCTCCAACTAACACCCCTTTCAAAAACCCAGAGTCCACAACTTTACAAATTAGTGCACTGAGCGCTTCCCCCACTATATTGAACAAGAAAAGAGAAAGCGGGCAACCTTGACGTAATCCACTCTTTATGTTGAAAATGCTTGTAGGTGATCCGTTAATCAATACAGAAGTTGAAGCAATAGAAACAGACAAATGAATCCGCTTACGCCATGTTGCTCCAAGTCCTATACATCGTAAAATGAAATCCAAAAAATCTAATCTACCGAATCGTATGCTTTTTTAAAGTTGGCTTTGAACATAACTGCTTCCTTCTTGGAGCATCTCAAGTACTCAATAACCTCGTTAGCTATTAGAGCACAATCCAAATTTTGCTTGCCAGAAATAAACGCAAATTGGTTCTCACCAACAACCTCCTTAATACACTTTGTCAATCTCCGCGACAACACTAGGGCTACAATTTTGTATATGCTTCCAACTAGACTTATTGGTCTAAAGTCGCTCATTTCTTCTGGCGATGGTGATTTAGGGATCAGCAATAAAAAAGAGTGATTGAAGGATCTGTTTGGAAATCTTTCGCTATAAAAAATCTCGAAGAACTTCATCACTTTTCCTTTGAAACGACTCCGGTATTTCTTGAAGAAATCCAAGTTAAAGCCATCAGGACCTGGAGTCTGTGAACCATCCGCCAACTCAATTTGGATTCTTGAAAGAAAATTACTCTCAGATTGGCTAAACGAATGCTTCTTCTCACTGCCCTTATTTTCTTGCACCTTCCCAATTACGTTCCAAGAAAAAATACAACAGTTCATATTAAAAGGATGGAAGCCTACTCACACCTGGTGCAACCTGCTCCCCTTCTCAGCACTTATCAGTCGCTTCTAGCTCACAAATTCTTGCTTTGATAGCTTCTTCGGTCGCGTCAAATTTAACTCCCAATTCAACACCCATCTTGAAGATATCTTCCGCTTCAACAACACTCAAATCCACCCTGGGCATGCTATCGTCGCTCCTGTTGTTATAGCATTTTCCATGTTTATTTGACCGTTCCTTCCTCGTTCTCTTCTTTTTGCTAGTTACCTGGTGATGATTTGAGCAATTTTACTTCCTTTGCTAGGCGTTTTGAGTTTTCTTTTGGGCTTCTATCAGGCTGATTGGAGGCCCAAGCTAATGTTACCTCCAGAGCATAACTCTCTGCTTACACTAGGTTGAGGGGTGGGCAATTGGGCCGTCTGGACATTGGGCCTTCTCAAGGTGATATTCATGAATTCTATTGGCACATCTTGAAGTCTGGACTTACTTGAGATGCACTGTTCTTCT